ATCTGAGCAGCAAGAAAAATAACCCTAAAAACGATTAAATTGTTGCACGAGAACACGTGCGAGTGGAATGCGAGCATAAAAAGATAAGTGACTAGGCGCTCAAAATTTCAGGATTGCGCCACACATCCCACTGTTATTCCGAATCCTAGAATTTGGCGTATTAATCAGCTCCCAGAAATACGATACGATGGCCGCCGGTTTTATCCTGTTCCGTTTCAATAGCTGTTGTTGTTTTGCGACATTTTCCGGCCCAAATCTGCCACAAGGATTGTGAGTTGTGGGCAAAACACTTTGCCCAGGCAGGATGTGAACCTGGACCACGCGCTTGCTGGAACCACTTCCTCACAGAATAGTACCATTGGCCATTCAGCTCAATGATTCAGGCCGAAACTTTTATCTACTAGATGTTCCTGCTAGCAGTTGTACGATGGTGAAGACTGCAGCCAGAGCATTGTTGATCCATTCATTGTTGATCCCGAGTGTGTGTGGGGGGGAGGGAGTCGTACATATTTTTTGGTTGGAGAGAGGGGTGGGGCTGCATCTAGCTATGAAAATTTACGGGTTGTTGACGTGTTGCTTTCGCGTGCGCTGTGTATCCCTCCCTCTCTCCACTCGACGGAATTTTTCAGGGATTGAGGGTAGAATTTTTGAGATAGACTCCTTAAAAGTAGTATGTATTTGAGAAAATTAATTCAGGAAGATGGTAGGATCAGGATGAGAAATTGACAAAAATGACTCATAGCCGGTAAGTAGGAAAGTTTTGATCCCAGGCTTTCTAGGCCTTTCGGATTCAGGGTTTTCTCCAAAATTGTTTGTACTGTACAATGTTGAGATCCTAAGAGGCTCCGGAGCAGTACAATTTTATAAGAAGAACCTGAAAGTCCCTTTCTCCTGTCTTCCGCCTAAGCGCTCCAAGAACCCTTGTGATTATAAGTGACCTGCTTTCAAGGAACCCTAGCGATCGGTCAGTGTTCCAAGCGTTGCGCCAGAACATTCATAGGAAGTGAATTGTGTTGCGAGTGGTTGTGACAGCATTGATGGGAAAACTTTTATTGATTTATAACGGCCCATTGTCTAATTTTCGGTGATGGCTCAAAACTTGCTCATGGCTTCAGGTGATTAAAGTGAGAGTCAAATAGACAAAAAGGAACCTTCCCCCTCCCCGCACCCCTCCCCCTTCTACCTTCTACATTTGATCGAGAAGCTTAAGCTCCGGAGCTCATTTCCAAAGCACATGGCTAAGAATGTTGCCCTAAAGAATAGCTCAAATAATGCTAAAACTCCAGATGAGCAGTATTCACAAAGAAGTCGATGAGTAACAACTGATTCAGCTTATTCACAAAGAAGCCCTACAGGGTTCGATGAGCAGCAACAAACAACTGATTCATGAAGACCCACATCAAACGAAGAATTGCTCAGTTATCGAGAAGAACATAGCGTTTACCACGCGCACTATCCTGGGGTCAAATTCCGGGCCGACTCCCACTCATGCCAACCAAACCCGTCTCTCCCCGGGACAGTAAATTGGTGCCAGATTCGTCTGCGAAAATAAGAGAACTGATTTTTACATCAGCTGGCTCCCGCAAGTCATTGTGCAGGCCATCAGCGCTGTCTAGGTGCCATTACAAAACGGACAGCAGTCCCGAACAATACATAATAAATGCGAAAACGTAGGTAATAGACCATGAACTGTGGTATAAATAAGTGACATCGCCAGGGAATTGAGTGTCGTGCGATGGTGGCGAAATCAATGTGCTACATGGCGCGACACAGCGATGGGGGAGGTTCTCTAGGTCTTCTCGACGAGGGCTGTCTGTCCGGGCGGCAAGCCGCAGCGGCCGCCGCCAGCCGACATCACCACCCCCGGACCCCGGTGTGGACCGACAAGCAATCGATCTGTGAGCGCAACCTGACTCGAACCCTTCGTGGGGCTCACCCGGCTGCCTCCTAGAGCTCATCATCACCTATGCTTCTCAGTTTGTCTCATGAATACTACTGCAGAATTTCTCTGGTTTTTACTTACTAGATAAGATCGCGTAGTCGATTGTTCCACTGGATACGCTCTTGCAGATAAAACCTTCCTCAAGGTCATCGCTCAAAGAAAATCGGGGCAAATTTGACATTTGAGAGTTATGGGCTTAAGGACGCTTATAAATTACCCACATTTTTATGTACGGAAGGACCTTTCTTTGGCACAATAGCCGACGCTCTAAAGGGTTTTTGTTGAAGAAGCAGCCATGACCCAGTAGAGGCCAGTCACGTAACCCTTGTCAGTTCATCCTGGCCCTTTCTAGCCACATTAAACGGTTTCAGGCCTTATGTGAAGGCTAGGAAGTAACAGCAATTATTGCGCAGATGAATGTTACAAGTAGGACAGGCCCTGCTGTTGGAGAAAAATTTTTCAAAATACTCATTTTTGCAAGCTGTTTTGTTATGATACGCTATCTCATTCCTTAACTTACTCATTTATTTATTTACGACCTCCTCCTGCTATTTCGAAAAAACTTTCCCCGCCTGCCTACTGGTACGCACATTCACTCCCCCTCCCCCCATTACTAAGCTTCCTACCACTTTTCCTGAGTTTTTTCCTCCCAAAAAGTTTCTCCACTTTTTCCCCGAAAAATTGTCGAGCGTGGATGGTGGTGGGGGAGTGTATACAGCGCATTTGACACTGGGAAAGCTGAGAGGTTTTCAAAGGCAAATACGATTCCCCTCCCTTTCAGCGACCAAATACGACCCTCTCGCAATGGATCCCCCAGTGCCCTGACTACGAGTTCCTATTGCTCTCTTTCTACTCTTTCGCTCTTATTCTCTTCTATTCTTCTTTTTGCTCTTCGCAATAAATAGCTCCTCGTTTTTCCGCCAATTTCCTTTTTTTCTTATTTTTGCCAAATTTTTAACAAGCAGCCCATTAATTCTGAACCTTAACGACTCTTTTTGAGAATGCCGGTTCGCGGGCGAGAGCGGAAACGACGGCGACGCCATTCCGACAGCGAGGATGAGGACAGCATTTTCACAGGTTGTTCTCCGTTTTTTTTTCTCGCCCGACGACTTTCTCGAAAAATCCGAAAACTCGTACGAATTCCTCGTCCTTGCAGGATGGAAACTCGGCCTAGTAGTGGGAGTAATTGTCGTCTGCTTCGCAATGCTCTATCCAACACTTATTCATCCTATGCTCATGAATCTTATAGGTAAGGTATTATTTAGAACAGTGTTATAATTTTTTATTCACATTATTCTGGAGTTATTTTACCTGTTTTTTCCTGTGAAGACTAGTTTTCGATTTTTGAGGTTTTGTTTTCATTTTTCATTTGTTTTGTGCGCGTGAGCATCGCTCTCACACCTCTCATGTTTTATTTATTAAAGCGCCTCTTCCTCTCATTTTGGTTACTCATCGCGGTGGTTCAACCCCCCAACTGGTCCAGACACCCCTGCTGGAGGAGTCTATCGCAGATTGGCGTCGCTGCGTGTATAACATATACCTTACCGTTCGTTCAGTGCTCAAAAATATAACTGAAGTCTGTTGTGGATGAAGAGTAGATATTGCCGCCGTCCGACGATGGGGGCATTATTGGCAGCTTTCACTGTTTCACTACTTCACCTGTTTACCAAGTATGCGACATCTGGTGAACTTGTGATACTGCTTGTGAAGAATGGAAGCAAACTCGTACTAGCGCAACCGTTGTAACGACTCACTTCCCCCCCCCCTCCCCCCATCATCAAGCTCCTACTACTTTTCCGAGTTTTTTTTTCCTCCCAAAAGTTTCTCCACTTTTTCCCCGAAAAATTGTCGAGCGTGGATGGTGGTGGGAGAGTGTATACAGCGCATTTGACACCGGGAAAGCTGAGAGGTTTTCAAAGACAAATACGATCTCCCCCCCTTCCAGCGACCAAATACGACCCTCTCGCAATGGATCCCCCAGTGCCCTGACTACGAATTCCTATTGCTCTCCTTATCCTACTCTTTCGCTCTTATTCCTTGCTCTTCGCACTAAATAGCTCCTCGTTTTTCCGCCAATTTCCTTTTTTTCCTATTTTTGCCAAATTTTTAACAAGCAGCCCATTAATTCTGAACCTTAACGACTCTTTTTGAGAATGCCGGTTCGCGGCGAGAGCGGAAACGACGGCGACGCCATTCCGACAGCGAGGATGAGGACAGCATTTTCACAGGTTGTTCTCCTTTTTTTTTCTCGCCCGACGACTTTCTCGAAAAATATCACGAATTTCCTCGTCCTTGCAGGATGGAAACTCGGCCTAGTAGTGGGAGTAATTGTCGTCTGCTTCGCAATGCTCTATCCAACGCTTATTCATCCTATGCTCATGAATCTCATAGGTAAGGTATTATTTAAAACAGTGTTATAATTTTTTATTCACATTATTCTGGAGTTATTTTACCTGTTTTTTTTTCCATGTGAAGACTAGTTTATTGAAGTTCTTTTTGTTTTCATTTTTCATTTGTTTTGTGCGCGTGAGCGTCGCTCTCACATCTCTCATGTTTTATTAATTAAAGCGCCTCTTCCTCTCATTTTGGTTACGCGGTTCAACCCCCTCAACGTTGTCCAGGCAACCTTGCTGGAGGAGTCTATAGCAGATTGGCGTCGCTGCATATACTTTACCGTCTCGTCAGTGCTCAATAATGTAATTGAAGACTGTTATGGATGAAAGAATAAATATGCGCCGTCCGGCGACGGGGGGCATTTCATGCATCTTCAATGTTCGCTTCTTTCTGGTTGTACAAAGTAATCACTACTGGTGAAGCTTGTGAACTTCTTGTGGAAGCTGGAGCAAATCGTCTAGCCACCCAGTTGTAAAACGTGTCAACCCACATCGATGGGAAGCAAAATGCCCCCCCCCCTGTCGCCGACCTGCGCCTAAATCTCTATAGAAAATTTGATGTTGTTCGGCTTGGAGGGGCACTTTCGCTAGTTCCTTTTGTTGGTTCATGTTACTAAACAGCTCTATTATTGGTCAGACCTGTGAACACTTGTGAAGCTACGAAGTTGTTCAAATGGGCAGACTGGTAATCAGGAATTTAACAGGTCTCTGGGCCCTGTACATGCTTAGCTATAGTACGCTAATTCGGTGTTCCCACCAGCGAACCGCGTCGAAAATTCCTGTAAAAGTATCGTCGAAGTTCTGAAGATGCCCGAAATGGCTCCATACGCCATCAATCACTGTTAAGATTTTCCTGATTCACGCAGGACATGATGTAACTGGATGTAGTACAGCTTCCCGTAGGTCAACCGTCTCTCGAGATGTTTACTTTAGCAATCTTAATGTTAGGGACCCATTTTATTAGCATTCCTTTCCATTAAACTTCTCGCTCCTCTAATACAGCGCCCACGAGCAAACTAAACAGTGAAAGCGCTGACCTGTGCATTCGGCCAGAACCTTGAATGTGGCCAAAAATGCGCATTGCATATATTCGGCGGCTCAGAGGGGCATTCTGCTCTTTCGGTAGTCCCTTTTGTTAACTAACAAATCTCACTTTGGTCAGACCGGTAAACTCCTGTGAAGCTGCGATATTGTTCTGATGAGCCACTTTGATCACAGCAGTTTACAGGTCTTCACAAGATGGCCTGTAGAAACTCAGCTGAGTACGCCATCGTGCCCGCCGCCAAGCCGAACTTGGTCCCCATATTTCTAGCATCCTCAGTGGAAACAGGATTTGTAACCTTTGAAAAATGGATCGATCGACACTGTAAGCCTTATCGTTTCCATCCTTAATTAGCATCATCTGGACAAAAATGGGACACTGACTGGAAGAGCTTTTGTGTTTCTCTTCTACCAGTATGTACAAGATGGGGGAGAAGTGCTGCTTGTGTTCATGACGCACAAGCCTTCCTTCCCTCCAAGTTTGGTCAGTTAGCAGCCTGAGCGCCTGAAGCGTTGGGATTGTTTAGTGCAGTTACGTTTAGCTTCCTACTGGGAGCCCGAGCCGAGACTAAATGGGCCAGTAATGAAAGCGTAGATACTTCTTATTCTTGTCATATCCACTGAAATGATCCTATAAGTCGCGTAAACCGCGTCATAATTTCAGATGAATGTCTTTTCTATCACGACACTTCCCTGGTCATCTGAATATTATATTGTCATGCAAGATGGCACATCACTGACTGTCACATAATGATGATAATGATTAGTTGGCAGTACTAAAGGCAGGTGGTAAATCGCCAAGGCTTATAGGATTAATACGCCTAGCAGGACAGAATCCCCCCCCCTGAGTAGGCACTGCGTGAATCCATTCTCAAGGGAGGTTCATAGCGCCTTAAGCTGCAATATACCGACCCGATCGCCACCCGCTCTCCGACCGATGCTGATGCTCGTGCTTCATTTATGCGATGTACATATTGAAGAAAGAAGGAGATAGAAGCGGCTGGGTGCTGCGTGGATAAGAGGAGGTGCATACAAAATTGGGGGGCAGCCTGTATCAAGCCGTAAGCGATTATTGGACGTACGCTCAACGCAGCAACTTCGTCCGAAATTGTATTTCTGGTCGTGTAGAACAAAAGCTTTTTCGAATGTTTCTTGACCGTTTTTTATACTTTGGCTCTTTGCACATTTCCGCCATCTATACAGGGGGCCAAAAAAGTCACTTTTCTTCATTGACTTTCGAGGCGCTATAAGTTACACTTTATTGAAATTCTAATCGGACATTTTCACCACCATATTAAAGAGCATATTAAATACTATCGTGATACTGCGCCAAAACTTTCTTGGACGAAAAGCCATTCGAAGAGATTCTGCCACGCGACCGTGATTTGGTGCCTGGATCAGCGAATAGCCGATTTCTCCGCCACCGTAGACCACCCTATTGAAGTCCGCCCGAAGGGATTCCGGTCAGGTGACCTAATTGGATAATCCGTTTTTTAGATACTCAGCCCCTCCCACTCCAAGTAGGCGAGAGTTTCTCCAGTGCCCTTCGATTCCATGTGGTGGCACCACCCACATCCTCGTAGCAGTGCAGTTTCCAAGATGGAGGGCGACGACATGTGAGGAGATAATTCTTACACGTTGGTCAATGTAACGCGCCAGCACTCAACACTTCTGTCGGAGTCGCAGGAAAGAAAGATTGGTCCTTTCTTACAGGTACGTCCAGTCCATACCATCAACCCGCGCCTTGACGACTGCCGTGAAGATGATGTCCTAGACCGTGGCGATGTTGTCGGAGCTGCTCGATGTTAGGAGGTCATTCGAGATCAAGAGTACTGTCTTCGCAGGTAGCTATCCATGGGTGACTCCATACTAGAAGTTTCGCAGCTGTTTGGAGGTGACATGAATTCCAAAGGTCTTCTCCAGTCAGGCTGCGACTGGAGATGACTTCATATTTTGGTGTACATGAAGGTGATGGGCGAGAGCCAGCTCCTGCTTATCGAGGAACATCTTGGGTATTCCGCCCTGGTACTCGTATCCACGTCCTCTGTCTGGGCTGCGAAAACTTTGCTGATATGACTCGTCGAAGTGACTTTTTTGGCCCCTCTGTATAGCACATCTGCTACCATTTAAGACCAAGTGCTATATTATCGTGCCTTATGCCTTTGAAGACAACCACGCAGTTGCATATTATTATGGATAGTGGCGTTCAATTAGAAGCCGACAATCGAAACCACTCTCCAATCGATTTATAAAAGCAAGAAAAAAATTACGTGAAGAAGCACCCTGAGGACCACCTGGCAGCGTTCACTGTGCGAGTTCTCCGGACTTGTTAGTTTATGCCAGCAAAGCTATATCCTGCCGCCTTTGGCTCACTGACGACGTTCCTTCGCATCCATCTATGCTACTACCACTAAAAGCGAAAGGAACCGTTCCTGGTAGAAAAAAGCCCTTAAGTTTTGGGGGACGGCACGCGGGGGCGCCAGAGCTGCCACTTATGAGGGCTACATCGCTTACATTACTTACTTACTGCGACTGCGAAGCCGCGAGAGCGGCACGATCACTTTTGAGACCGAATTATGGGTGTTTGCAGAAAGCGCTACCAATTCGTGTAAGCCCCTTCTACTGCGGATCTCTCCCTCATTCCATCTGCTGACCGTTGCTGACCTATGATTGTTTTTTTCCATACACTAGACTGCTCTGGAGGTCACACTCGTACTCGGCACCGCCCACTTCAGCGCACGCCCCGCCCGTTGTGGGCGGAGTCTAGTTCAGCCTACGAGTGCTCCATGCGTTTTGACTCATATTCCATCCACAGCAAACTTTACCTGCTTGCACGAAGCGATTTTTAAGGGGATTCCTATTTTCTGGCGATCAGACATACATACATACATACAGTCCTCATCATTGCGGACTGTCGGAGGCGGCGTGAGCAGCGCGGTTCGAGTCGCGTTCGGCTCCCTTGCTCTACCAATGGCGATCGGGTAGAGATCGATTTAGGAAGGAAACAACCAATGATGGAAACGCTGCAGGTGAGACCGCTGATTGCGACCCAACATTTGCGGTGATATTAAGTGTACAGACAGACAGACAACTTCTGGTTTACATACAGCGGTAGATATAAAATGGAAGCCTCCGTTTTGCACGTGCCTCTGAACGGAAACTACCAGTCAAGATATCCTCTCACCGTGCTCACATCGCACAAGTTTAGTTGCATCGTGCAGGTTTCGAAATGGAATGCGGCAGCTAGGAAACAAGCAGTGAAATCAAATAAGCTCGGGCATATATGAAAGGAGCTTGTTGGAATTTCTCTACTTTCAGCAGCCAAAATATAATAAAGTATGACTCAGAGGAAGTCTGCAAACGTCTAAAGCTGTTGCTTTACGGAGTAACTAATCGCATTTGAAAGAAATCCTGATAGTGAAACCCTTTAGGCCTCACTGGATTCGTTCAGATCAAAGAATGAAGTTATTGGTGTGATCAACTCTTTTTGGATAAGCCGCATTCGACTTCTATTCGGAATGGTAAAGTCAGTAGGATATGAAGGGAAAAGGATGGACCTTCTTTCATCGATCGTCATTATTTGGGTGCGGCACGCGTTTCTTCCACTCAAATATTAGTGGCATTTCAGAAGCCATATGGTCTAAAAGGCAAAGACCGTGATCACAGATAGTATACAGTAGAGCTCAGATACGAACAAGAATGTTCTAAGTAACTGCGTAGTGAAGAAAAAAGCAGAAAAAACCTTCCGGAATGCCCTTTATAGCCCTCTGCCGACGCCAGCTTGTACGTGCACATATTGAAGAGGCGTGTTCGTACAGATTCTCACCGGTGTTATCATAACAATATCATCCATTTCCCGTTATCACTTCACTCTCACAATTTGGAATGGTGAGCGTTAGTAGAGGGGCTACCAGCCAGTAGATGGTAGCATCCCGGGGACGTCATAGGTCTGGGGTGCTCAGGGGAGCTGTTGGCCTTAAGTGTTC